AGCTACCTGTGGCTCAAGGAGTAGGGTGCCAGCCCCATATGCTGGAGGTGGTGGGTTCAAACCCAGCCCTAGCCCAAACCAAAACTTTTAGTTTCCTTTTTCACTGTTAAAATACTCATATCAAGATAGGATTTACACATCATAGTAAGGTCATATCTTTTCTATTACCTATTTAATTGGAATGAATATTGGGTTTGTTTGTTTGTAGTTTTGGTAGTAGAACAAAATGAGAAAAGTATTTCAAGTAGGTTTTTTTCTGGTGTGCTGATCACTTTTTGCTTCTTTGGGACAATTTGCTTGACACTTCTATAATTTGAGTGATAGAAAAAAAAATGAATATATAATTTTGAAATGTTTAGTGGGGTAGAAAATCAGAAGAATTGATGCTTAGATCTAGCATTGTTGCAGGAAGACAAGGCCCAACAGAGAGAAAGAGCACCCAAACACCATGTTTATAAGAGGAAGGGCTTTATTTATTGGCTGGGAGCTTAATGGCATAGAAGAATTCCAAGTGGCCGGGCTCCCCCACTGGCTTGGTCTTTCCCTTTTTATCGACAGTCCAAAAGTTCCAACCCATAGGTACCCTTCACATTGGCCAGTTTGAATCAAGCAGGAGATGCTCTTCCAGCCCCTATAGACTACAGGATTTCACAGAACTTGGAAATTTCCAAGTTCCAGGAAGTTAAGTTTACAGATTCCCAAGAGCTGAGTCACCATGGAAAGTACCCTGCAGGTGTATCCTTGTGGTCTCCCTGAGAAGACCTGTTCTCCTAGAACCCACCCTTCTCAGGTATCCTCTCTCAGTATTTCTAGATTTTACTCTGATACCCTTTAGGATACACTGGAAAAGCATGGGTTGCGAGTACTCTAGTTAGTTGGATTTATGCTGAGTGGAAAGATTGTGCATTATGATGCTGACATGAGTTGAAGTGATTTAGAAGCATGTTTCTGGTGGCATGCCAGAAGGGTCTACCCTGAGTGTATCCTTTGCCATGTTTTGTTTTGAAACAAATGTTACTATGTCACCCTTGGTAGAGTGCTCTGGCATCCTAGCTCACAGCAACCTCAGATTCTTGGGCTTAAGTCATTAATTCTCTTGTTGTAGTCCCCAACCTCAAACTCTTGAGCTTAAGTAATTAATTCTCTTGTTGTAGTCCCAAGCAGCTGGGACTACAGGCACGTACCACAACACCCAGGTATTTTTTCATTGTAGCTGTTGTTTAGCAGGCTCAGGCCAGGTTTGAACCCACCAGCCCTGGTGTATGTGGCCGGCTCCCTAGCTGCTAAGCTACAGGCACTGAGCCCTTTGCCATATTTTTATCAATAGTTAATGGGACAAAATTGAAAGGATGGCACATACATTATATGAGAAAACCTGCAGTGACCTCAGAATGCAGAGGAATAAGAATAGTTTCATGTATGGTCAGCTATTATAACATACACTTTCTCCTATAGGGCGAGAAGAAAACAGAAACATAAGTATAAGGTTGAGATTTGGGACTAAACCAGTAACACATGAAAGTTTGATTTTAAAGGTTTGTATAAATCAGGGGTCCTCAAACTTTTTAAACAGAGGGCCAGTTCACTGTCCCTCAGACCATTGGAGGGCCGGACTACGGGCCCCTGAACAAGTCGGCTGCTAAGTAGGACAGGCAGCGGTGGCAACAAAAACATCCAGCGGGCCAGATAAATATCCTCGGCAGGCTGTAGTTTGAGGACGCCTGGTATAAATTATAGCTCTTCAGTTCATTCATGAAGCCATGTAATCTTTAATACCCAAACTAGACTCATACATCAACACCCACAAAAAATAACTTTTATGAAACAGGCTAACATGGAAAGATAAATGAAAATTCTGAATTCAGTCTTAGGAAATCATTTTTTTCCCCTTGGATACAGAGTCTCACTATGTTGCCCTCGGTAGAGTGCTGTGGCATCACAGTTCACAGCAACCTCAAACTCTTAGGCTTAAGTGATTCTCTTTTCCCTCAGCCTCTCAAGTAGCTGAGATTACAGGCACCTGCCACAATGCCCAGCTATTTTTTTGTTGCAGTTTTTGTTGTTTAGCTGGCCCAGGCCAGGTTTGTACCTGCCAGCCTTGGTGTATGTGGCTGGCGCCCTAACCACTGAGCTATGGGTGCCGAGCCCAGTCTTAGGAAATTATTTAATCATATATTATATAAAATGACGCCTACTAAAAACAAATCGAGTTTATCCTAGGGTGTGCTTTGATATTAGAAAATACATTGACAAAATGATCTTGTGACAAGAACAACCCTAGTCATCTTAATGGATGCTTAAATGGCACTAAGAAATTAATTGCCATTCTTGTTAGAAAATCTTTGAAATGTCATAGTTAACATAATGGTTTGAAGGGTTCACCACTTAAGCTGATTTTCTCCTAGCATTAATAAAAGAAATGTAGTGTCCAGGATATAGCCCATGTTAGTTTTGTTTCATTTTAGGCCTATGATTTTCAGAGTAGTTTAGTCCATGCTGGTTATCAAGAAGGGTTATTAATAAATGCTTGCAGCCAGAGCATAGAAATAGGAAGGTAAATAGTGGAACCCAGAGTGTGATAGACAAGTGGGTCTAAGGATTAAAGCTGTTAACCTAGAAGAAAAAAATATGTGATAGCTACCTTGTAGTTAAAAGGGACCCACTGGCCAGTTGGATTGAATATATTCTTTGTTATAGCATTCATCAGATGTAGGTCCAGTGGAGGAAAGACAGGTGGAAAAACTTTCTTTTGAAACTTTTTAACAATAAGAAAGTTAATGTTTTATGCAAAAATTACATTTTCGGTGTTGGAGTGGCTATCACTTGTCATGGTAGAGGATCATGCTATGGTTATATCATCGCTCTGATCTCTTTGTGCTTTCAAGCATCTGTGGTTTTGTTTCTGGTTGTCTTTTCCATACCCTCTCTTGTGGCTCAGCATCTGGAAGTTTTTGTTTTTCTGTGCTGTGTAAGTTCATTGTATGACTTCTTAGTTAATAGTAGTAAGCAAATAAGAAAGAATGAAGACTGACAGCTCAGTAAAACCTGTATTCACTTATAATGCAGAAATTCTGTGGGCAGCTATTTTTTTTAAAGTATGTTTTAGTAAATACTATTTCTTATAAACAACTTTATAAAGCACCAAGAAGTTAAAAAATACTTCACTTGAAGAGGATGGCTGTTAACATTTTGATGGTATTGCTAGCACTTTTCCTTGTATGCCAGTTTGAATCTTCAAATGCAATCTTATAATACCTGTCAGAACAAACTGTATGTTAATCTAAGACATTCAGAAAACCTTTTATGTCTTTCTGTATTAAAGGATAATTTTACATGTTATGTTCCTACCCCACTCCTTGGGAAATTGAATGGTTGTTTTGCCATTAATGAGGATGTATTCTAAGGACAGGAAACAGAATAAGGATAAATATGCATCTTTTTTATACCTTACGATCATAAAGTAGGAGCACACAGTGAACTTTAGGTTTATGAATAAAAATTGTCAGTTTATTTTCAGACATCTAAGTGTGAGTCAAATATGAATTCCATGTAGTTTTACCTGTTATACAATCTAGAATACTAATATTTGCTACAGCAGCATTCTAGCAATTCACTTTTTGTGCTGATATTATGAATAGTTTTAAAAATTTAAAATATATACGTACACTTGCATAATGTATACATATGCCTATGGAGGTATTTGCCAATCTATGAAGAAACAGTAACAAATATCAAAAGTCTTAAAAAAATGTATCACTTTATAGTATCACATTTTTACACCCATAATTCCGTCATACATAGCCATTTACATTTCTCCATGGAATCTGTTATTCATATCGGTAAATACATTTATTTTTGCATAAACTTCAGAATATTTTGTTTCTTTTTCTTTACAGCCATTCTATATAAAGTCGAATTTGTATTAATGGTTGTAAAGTTCAGGTAATAGGAATTAACCAACACTGACTAGTTTAGGTTTTCATATATTTTCTGAGGTATTAGATGTCGATTTACTAATTTGTACCCCATTGGATTTTGGCATTTTTACAGGTTTCGATATTCACCATTTTTATATTGCAGAATCAAGGAATTATTTAATGATTTCAAGTCTCATGTTGCTATGCAAACAGGACATACGCAGTGATTAGGTGTTATTGAGATAACAAGTGTGTAGGGATGTTGCCTGACCACTCTGTGGTTGTAAGTCAGGGAGGTAGGGAAGGAAAAGGAGTTTGGTTATTGTTGTCTGTACATCTATTTCAAGTTGAAGGGTCCGTTCATAATTAAGACAAAAGAAAATCTTCCGTGTGAAATATCAAAGGAAGAGAAGGGGGTGCACCACAAAGACAGGAACTGTCTTTTTCTTGTATCTGAAGTTCTTTTAGTTTCTTTTCATAGCAGAGAAAAAGAGATAGGTTAAATGAACTTTTAAGTAGAAACTTTCTAAATTAAATGAAACCTTATGTATTTTTTGGTCTCAAACTTTTGCCTATCAACATAATAAAAAATCAAATTAAGATATTAATATTGTGAGGCAGCCAGAATGATAAGCCACTCTCTTAGCCCCTGGCCCAGCACTCCACACATACTCAGTCTCCTCTTGAACCCCTGTGTTATATGCACTCTTTGTGTGGGAGGTAGGCCCATTTGTCATTTAAAACATGTACTAGTAATTCTCCTTTCTACTTTGTTTTCAACACCCCCCCCAAAAGATGAGCTTTAAATACAAAATAATTTAACTTTATCTCATCACAACTTCTCTTTTTTCCCTCGAGTCAGCTTTTTGTAGCATAACTCACACCCTGTTTTAGTTTTAGAGATCCTCAGGTAGCATTGGAGCCCAAGAAACTCTGATTCTAACCTAGACAGGTTGATTTCTCTGAGATGGCTTCCTTCTACATCTACTTCTGGAAAATGTGTTTTGAAATACTAGCCTATTCTATTGCCTCAAGCATATTATATATGTGATATGTCTCCTAAATAGATGACGTTTTAATCTAAGATTTCTTTTAACTCTGACCTCTGTTATTTAACTTTTCTGAAACTAACACAGTTGTCATTATAACTATATATGTACTCTGAAGATGGCTTTGTTTTTCGCATTTCCAGTGGCATCCATATTTTTGAGAAATAGAAAAGAATAACAGCTAGATGTGATCCTCATATAATGCCAACCAATTTTAGAAGGACTCTAGTGTCTGAATAGTGATTATTTAAGTGATTTGACAGTAAAACAAGGTTATGAAATAAGTTTGTCAGTTATTTAGAGTATGAAGAATATGCCATTGTTTCTTATTACCAGTGTTTAATAATCCGAGCAATAACAAGGGAGAGAAAGTATGTCTAGAGGTTGCCATCCAGTCTAGCTTTGTGGTCCTACCTAGAGGACCGAATCAGACCAGTCCAGACCAAATCGGACTGGATCTGGATCAGACCAGATCTGAATCTTAGAAACCCAGAGTTTCTAAGATAGTTGTGCCTTTGTAATTGTCCCTTCTAGCTACAGAAATCTGTGCTTTAGATATTAAGCTTATAATAGTTGACTCGCAGTGCTTTAGGATGCTAACCTTAATGTTTTATACTGTTAGTATCTCCTTATTTGTTGCCAAAATGGCCTCCATCAGCCAGCCATAGGGTAGTAACATTGCTTAATTTCCTCTTATACATTCAAAATATTTTTTTTTTCTCTGAGGGTTTAGTTGTTTACCCTAAGAAAAAATTTAGGTTAAAGAGAAAGAATGCATAGATCTTTAAGCCTAAACTTTAATATACATATATATGTATGTTTATGTGTGTGTGTATTATATATATATCTGTGTCTATATATGTGTATATATTAGAATTATACTCAATTCTAAAGTATATTTTCATATAACACCAATTATAAAGTATTTCTTACATGTGTTTAATTTGTATTTTTAACAGCATGAACAGGTAATTTCAAAGTCATAAACCTCTTAGGATTTCACCTACCTGGTAGATGATACCATGGTAGCCAGTATTTTTATTTCTGGGTATTATATCATAAATCTTGAATAGTCATCTTATCCTCATTTGTTTATGGCCTATTGCTATAAGGCTGGTTGGCTTTTGGATTGGGTAACTTTACTCAGATGATTACCAGATAAGAGTACAAACAATATAATTCAAGTTAGAATTAAAGCAGTTCTGGTTGTGCTATAGTGGGTAGTTTCACTGATAAGGAATCCCTGATTTAAATCAAAACTTAGGAGTCCTCTATTTTAGTTTAAAATTACTTTACAGATAAAATCACTAATATCCACATACATGGTACATATACATTAATAAAAGTGTATATAAAGTATATTTTTATTTCTGGATAAAAATATTATATATTACTCCAGCACTATGCTTTATGTTTGAATGTCAAGTTGCTCTTACGTTGCAGCAGCTGTTGAGAGCCAGATACGTTCATGTTAAAATGAAGACTGTTATGAAAGAGGAGAGTAGAGTGGAGTGCTGTGTAGTGAGTAGCTGCCATATAGTTGTGCTGAAACTAGTGAACGTACGACTGAGAATGCCCGGTGGTGCAGCGCTTCTCTCCTGTGAACTAACAGCCAGATTGTTTATAATTTCCCATGCTATTTAAAACAGGGTTCTCATGTATCAGCCATCTTCTGTAAGGGTGCCCAGTGTGACTTCGGTTGATCCTGCTGCTATTCCGCCTTCATTAACAGACTACTCAGTACCATTCCACCACACGCCAATATCAACCATGTCATCAGATTTGCCAGGTATGTGGAAAGTTTTTGTTTTTGTTTGTTTTTTATCAAATTTTATTTCTTATTTTAAATCTTAATCTGTGTAACAAATACAGTATTAAAATTTTAAATAGAAGTGGTAAGGAAATGTGAAGACTTCATTTAAAGGTCATATCTGTTTTAATACATTACGTTCAGTTGTTATTTTAACTACAGAGCAATTGTTGCTTTGTAGATTCCTAATGATAGGAAATAACAGTAGAATGGTAGGAAAATGTTATGGGTTTTACTTTCTTTTGTGGAGAATTCATATATAGAGAATGTTTCTTGGGTTTACTTATCATGGACCCTTCACAGGTTAGGGAAGAGTATTTTCTCATATGCTTGGTAACCTGTTATAACTTTAGAATATGCTGTTACAGTTTGGAGGTGATTTTGCCCACCACTTTATCCTGTGGATTATATTATCCCTATTAGGATGGGATATATCATCTGTTTCCCAAGAGCAATCTATATATGCAGGCGTCTCCCCTTATCTACAGGGCATATGTTCCAGGACCCCAGTGGATGCCTGAAATGGCAGATAGTACAGAATCCTGTACATACTATGTTTTTTCCTATATTCACATACCTATGATAAAGACTAATTTATAAATTAGGCACAGAAAGAGATTAACAACAACAATAAAAAAGAACAATTTTAACAACATGTTAGCATCACCACTATTGCACGTTGGTGCCATTTTTAAGAAATATAAGGGCTACTGTAACACAAACACTGTGATACCATGATGATCACTGATAACCCAGATGGCTACTGAGTGACTGAGGACGGAGAGCTCCTGGACAAAAGAATGATTTACGTTCTGGGCAGGATGGAGCAGCACAGAGTGGGACAGCTTGAGAGTTTATCAGACTACTTAGAACAGTGTGCACTTTAAAACTTATGAATTGTTGGCTTGGCGCCTGTGGCTCAAGTGGCTAAGGCATCAGCCACGTACACCTGAGCTGGCTGGTTCAAATCCAGCCTGGGTCTGCCAAACAGCAAGGACAGCTGCAACCAAAAAATAGCCAGGCGTTGTGGCGGGCACCTGTAGTCCCAGCTGCTTGGGAAGTGGAGGCAGGAAAATCGTTTGAGCCCAGGAGTTGGAGGTTGCTGTGAACTGTGATGCCATGGCACTCTAGCCAGGGGACAGCTTGAGGCTCTGTCTCAAAAAATAAAAATTAAAAAAAACTTATAAATTATTTAATTCTGATATTTTCCATTTGATTTTTTTTTTTACTATAGTTGACTGCAGGTAAATGAAATTATGGAAAATGAAACCTTGGATGGGGAGGGGTACTGTATAATAACATTTAAAAAATCCTAGGTTGTTTGACCTACCTTAATATCAGAACTTAAAACAACCAGTGCAATATTGCAAAATTTAATTTTTCCTGCCTTTACTCCTCTTTCCTCTCTTCATAGCCATTGTTTTCACAGACATTGTTGTCAGTCAAATCTGAGCAAGTTAGGACCAGTGCTGCTTATATTTATGACTTGACTAATTTCTGAAGGGTCTTTTAGTGGAATACAGTTCTTTCCCATTATTAATTTTTTTTTTTTTTAGGTTCATAAAGTTGATTTTTATCTATGGTTTATTTTTCTTTCTCACTTTAGGTAGGTCTTTATTTTAAGCACAATATTTCTATTGATGAAAATTTGTGTTACTGAAACAATTGATGGTTATATTATGTAGCTAGTATTTTTTGTATGCAAAGCCTGATGCTAAGGTACAGATGAAGTTTTGTGGTCCATGATAAAGATGGAAACTCAGAGATTCTTAATTCCTGTCTGCCATATATTGCTTCAGCTTTGGCCAGATTGAAGAGTGTTTACATATTATCTTAGTATGTATTATAAACAAGCATTCCTAAAGGATTTGTTACCTAAAGATGTTGAATTAAAAATTAATTCTGACAAAAGATAATGAACATTTCTGTTTATTAGAGTGATCTTGCCATTTAACAATAACATTGGTAAATCACTTGCCCTGCCAATTTTCAAATTAATGTGAATCTGGATGAATTTTTAATTTTGGAGAATTTGTATTATTGCACAATTTGGGTATAAATTGAGACTTTATTCCATTTAAGAAATGTGCGGATTTGAGAAAAATGTAAAATATATCTGAATTATGTATTTAGTAAAATGCATTTCAAGCTGGAATTGAGGAAATAAGACTACTATCCAAGGTTGATATTAACCATTATGGTGATACTGGTTATTATTATTAAAATGTTGAAAAGCTTTCTTACAATTCATAAGCTTATAGAGTAGGCTCTATTGTGCTTTAGGATTGTTAGTTTTATCATCTATGAATTATGTTACTGCATCTAAATAGTTTTTTTTGATAATGTACTCTTTTGTATTTAATAATTACTGTCGTTTTATTTTTGTGCATAATTTATGTAATTAGTTATATTGTGGAGAGTTTTGATATTGCTAAGTTTAATAATTTATAATGAAATATTAAATAGAACACCAGGAATGGAGAGATAACAGAGTTTTAACACATTTCTTAACATTCCTTTTAAACATCATAAACGTGAATCTTCTGAATCTGCAGGAGAACAAAGAAGAAATGATATTAATAATGAACTGCAGCTTGGAACACCTTCTGATACTGTGCAACAGTGAATACAAAATAAAACAAATAATTTGTATTTGTGGAATGGAAAACAGCTTGATTATTTCAAGAAAAAATATGACTGCCTTATTGTTGCTAGTGCCATATTGTCAGGTGCGAATGGTGCTCAAAAGTTGTATCATTAAAATTTGGAAGTGCTAAGCATTTACTTCTTTAATCATGTAGCAGTTATGTTTTGTTAAAGTTTATGACTCAAGTAAGGTAATGCGTTGTCATCAATGAGAGAAAACCTAATGAGTCAGTTTCACACAATGAAGCATTTCATATTTAAAAATTATAATTTATCAAGTGTTAATAAAACAAAAACATTTAGAATGTACCGTAAGAAACTTTGGCACTACTTGCTTTTTAGTTAAAAATAATTGAGTATTTTCAGTGATGAAATATTTTAGGAGGGCATAAATATATGTTAGCATGACATGCTACAATTGAAACTTACGGTGAAATGAGAAAATAACATTTTGCTAAACTTACGAAACAAGGTATTAAACTTTTAATCACTATTGATAAAACTTTATTTCCTGTAAGAGTTTTAATATTCTACATAAAATGTACAATTCAGGAACACTTTGATACTTTAGTTTTTTATTAGAAAAACAAGCATGTTGAAATACTATATCAAATTTCACTTCTAGAAAAAGTGGTTTCAGTGAGACATATTTACATGAATACCTTTTGTGTTTTGGATAGACTGCACCTGTGTTGTGCTTGGAAGACAATCCAAAGTTTCAACCAAAGTTTTAGAAAAATTTCTAGGTATTTTTAGTATGACACTGTATATGTCAGCATATTCAAAATTATCCATGAATTGAGGTGTCAAAAGATAGAGAGCAAGTAAATCTCTTAAATCTTTTCTAAATAGACTTTGTGTTTATTGGAACACATGAAATCGTCAAAGAAATTAAAATACAACTGAAGAGCTAGAATTGAAATAATGAAAGTAGGGAGTCTTTAGATCTTGATGGGCATTCTCTAGTGATAGAGCTGCAAAAGCAGTTTGAAAATCGTATCAAGCTTGTATATTTATTTTAATTGAAGTTATGAATGGGAATAGTTGGACATTTAGGAAATGAGCAGTTTATAGTAATTTGGCTTCAGTGCACAATATGTCAACAGAGCTATTAATACTTTATAAAAAAGGTTTCAGTTATTAATACAGACTGAGTGATACAACACAATATTAAAAGTAACAACATATAAAGCTGAAAAACTAAAAATGTAGAAGTTGTTAAAAAATAAAAAAAGTTACATTATTGGAAGCAAAACAAAATTAAGTGAGTTAACATTCCGATAAGCTTTTTTGACTTAGTCACAGAAATATTGAATGTGTAAAGCTCCCAGAAGGTATTATAAGGGCTAGATAAATCTTGAATTACTGTTTCTTGTAGAATTTAGAGTTTTAGAGGATTTACTGAACAGTGTCATAATATGAGGAGAAACTTTCTGCTTGTGGAGATATTTCACTGTACTGATGATCATTTTAATAGGAAAGCCATTGGAAAAGTCTATTGTGATTGCTTTTGTCCAGCATTGGCTCAGTTAGTCCGTGACAGGCACATGAGATAAAAAATTATAGCAACAGTTAAAAAATACTTTAGAAATCATTTGAATGATTTTTTTCAAATGATTGGTGCTACAGCTTGTATCATTAGATGTGCATTTTTGTGATACTTTATTTAGAGATTATAATAGAATAAATATATTTTAAAATTTTGACTTATAAATTATTCATGCTGGCTATTAAATGTCTTAAATGTCCCTATTAATATTCTCTGTTTTGAGTAAAAATATAATATGAGACTTTCACTATGTATGGTGGTTATATTTGGGGTAACCTTGAATGCCAACATAAAACTCATGGAATTGAACAGAAGTTCGCCTGTCTTGAGGACCTATACCTAGTATGTGGTTTCTTTTTTTAATGTTTTGAAATAATTGGAAATTTAGTCATATAGGTAAATCTGCCTTTTGAAATTTATTGCTAAACTTTTCAAACTAGAAATTTTTTAATATTTAGTACTTCAAAATGAGATTATTGGACAACCTTTTTCATATTTCCGTTTCTAAAACATAATTGGAGAATTCCATTGCTTTGTTTTAGAAAATGATATTAGCTTAGAACCCAATAAGCCTTGGTAACTTTAGCCTGTTAGTGAACAGCATTGAGCAAGTGCTTGCTTTGTCCCCAGATCTGGGTGATGTACCACTCTTATGTGGGAACAGAGAACCATCAGAGAAATAGCTGTTTAAGAAGTAGTTCAAACCCAGCCCTGGCCAGGAAAAAAAAAAAAAAGTAGTAGTATTTAGATGAATCTCAATGTGGTGTATTTCTGAAAAATAAATCTGTAGCATTTTAAGGGGCTAAACATGTTTTTTTCCCCCAATGGTATGAATCCAGATCATTATCTCATCATTGTTTTTGTTTCTGTTATGTAACAGAGGAAGAGGGGGCATTTGCTTTGACCGTTCCTAATTTTCCGGAAATTTTTGGACTACTGCCTTTGAGTCTCTGGGAGGTGGCTCTTCTAGTTTTGTCAGGAAATATGTTCACCTTTGGGTTTTTACATGTTAAATATCATTGATCATGATTTAGAGCTTCCTTGTGGTAAATGCCTCAAATGTTTTGTGATTTACAATAAAAATGATTTGGGGAAATAATTCTGGTCTCCAAAATATGAGACAACTATTAACGAAGCATTTTTGTTTTAGGTTTGGATTTTCTTTCCCTTATTCCAGTTGATCCCCAGGTATGTATCCTGAATTTAAGCAACTACTTTGTGTCTGATTGTTGGTTTTGTCATACTAACTAAAAATGACCAGTTGCGTAAAATCAGGACAGTCAACTCTCCATTACTTTGGAAAGGAAGTACTATATAAATATTTAACAATTTTATTTGAAGGAATAAAGTTGCTGTTTTCAGTTTATATTTTGTTCTTAATTTCTAACTTTTTAATTAGACTTTATTTAGCTTAATAATTTGGCATCTTTTATAAGAATTTGAGTGATTAGAGTGAGTGGAAGCAGTGCTAGGTGGCTGGATGTTAAAATTTTACAGAGAAATTTTATATTTTAGATAAAACATACATATATATACGTGTAAAAAATCAATAGCTAAAGCTGATTAAACAAACTTGACTCAGTTTGAATCCTCCATTGTTTTTAAAGAGAGTCAGATTAGGACTTTAGGGATGCCCCAATTTAAAGTTGCTATATAGCAGTCATCCTTGTTTTCTCTGTCAGAGATAGAATAGACACTCTAGTAGACCAGTCCCAACATAAAGACTGTGTAGTGAGCATGGTTTCCCCTGACAGGTTTATACCAGTTATAACAAAGAAGGAAAAGGCATAATAAAAGTGAGAGGAGGAAAAAAAGAGACTTTGAGAGGTGTTGAGAATAGGGAGGGATAAAGGGAGAACCCCGGGATCATGGCTGCTCACAGTTAACCACACACCTTGGGTCAGCCTCTGGTTCCATTATCTGATCACATGGACATCAGTGGAAGTTTGGACCCAAAGTACTGTGCAGCCAAGGAATTTCTTGTCATTCTGAGTCTACTGATGTAACAAAGATACATAGTAAAAGTATATATATATATGTGTGTATATATATATATATATATATCTAGGAAATGAATTCTTCAGGCTTAAAGGATTACCACTGATTTTTATATGACCAATCTTTTTTTTTCTTTTTAATGACCTAGAGGTTTTTATTTCATAGCTCTATTTGGCATCTTAGTGGCAGCATAACTTCTTTGATGAGGAATAGAAGGGTGTGGTTGAATCCTTAGGTTTTTCTGCTTTATTTATTGCCCCTTAACCCCTGTCATTGATAAGTATGGAAAGGATACTGTAAGAAATTCAAGGCACAGACTCCATTGACGACAGGACTATGGTATCTAGCACTAATTTTGTAAATGAATAAGAGTGTCTTTTTCGCGTGGGCAATTACAAATTGCCTTAGAGGTAGCAAGAATAAAATATGAGTTTGGGGGCTTCTTTTCCAGATTTACCTGCCAATTTTAATGTGAAATAGAAAATGTTTTGATTTTTAGAGAAGAATTTTAGTGCCTGACAATTCAGCTATCTTTAGAGAGCTCCTTAGAAGCTCTTTAAAATTAAAGAGTCTCTTGAATCTGTGTGTGGTATTCATTTTATTGATGAATCAAAACAGTTATCTATCTAAAACATTAACTAACTTGCTCTTTTGAAGGGGAGCCTGAGGTTTAGTTGTTGCCCCATTACTCTGACAGGCAGCTTAAACCTGGGTGGTGGTTCCCATTTTATTTATGGGCCTTGAAAATCACGTGGTCTAAGCAGTTTCACTTTTAAATTCTTGTTCTGTGGTTTAACAATAAGCTGAATAATATATAGAATGGATAACTTGAATTAAATCTCTTTATTGATCTTCCATGAAGTTGAACTAGTAACAAACTTAGGACGTTTCCTTTTGCATTATATGTGTGTTACTAAACTTCTCTTGTTTTGCTAAGTTAGTGCAGCTATTTCTCACATAAAATATTCTACAGCAATATAAAATAAAGCTGTTAGCTCTTGTCTGTCTCTACTCCTTGGTCAATATTAAGAATATTACATGCAGGTTTGTACTGATAATGGGAATCAGCAACCATGATTGTAAGGGAACTTAAAATGCAAACATTGGTAAGAGGGTGTCATGTATTACAAGGAAGATTAGATTACTAGATCTCCTTTAAGATTTATTCCAAAATTTTGTGATTACAGGAGAGAATTCCCTGTCCTGAGCACCTTGTGGTAGTTAGCTACCTTATAGTCTCTGTTTTAGAATGAACGTTGTCATTATTCAGTTTTACATTAGAACTTTTGTTTAATACCATTAAAAATAAAGTACTTATTAGTCTTTATGGTGTGATTTAAATCCTGACTAATAAGCTCAGTAAATTATTTTTGAGATTAAATATGGGTTTTAATTGTGGAACCAATATTTCCTATTAAATGACTTCAGTTATTGTTGACATTATTTGTACTTTTATCTGTATATATGGTCAAGAAACAAGTTCCGTAAGTTTTGAGAGTCAGGTATATGTTCCATTCACTAATGATCTAAATAGCTAAGTTCATGTCACCTTCCATCCAAAGATGTGAAATTTAGAGAAATTTTTAAATCCCAGTGGGATTTAAGTATGTGTCTGTCACTTGTGCATATCTAACAGTTTCTAGTCTCTATTTAAAATCAATGTAGACTCTTCCTCATCAGCATCATTGTTTGTTTCAAGCAGTACTGTCCTCCTATGTTTTTGGATAGTCTGACCTCACCCTTAACAGCAAGCAGTACGTCTGTCACCACCACCAGCCCCCATGAAAGCAGTACTCATGTTAGTTCCTCCAGCAGCAGGAATGAGACAGGGGTCATAACCAGCAGTGGAAGCAACATTCCTGACATCATCTCACTGGACTAAAGGAGGATGCACTTGATTCTGGGAATCATTCACCAAAACTGCTCTTTCTTGGATCTCTGGTCCGTGGAAACTATATATATTTTTTGGCAGTTACTTTGATATTTATTGAAAGTCAAATGGATTCTTTTGCTTTCTGAGATGAACACAGATGACTGCAGCAAGAACCAAATGACGTGCAAGGATTTCTCTTAACTCATGCTATATGCTGAGCATCAGATACATTCAGCCATAACTGTGTCTTCTGTATCTTGAGAGATGGATTTCATTTCCATACGTTAATGGATGGATCCTGCAAATCATTAAAAATTTTTTGTTATAATAAACAGCAATAAAAATTATGTAAATATTCAAGTAAACGTTTTTCTAATTAAAAAAGTTATCACTGATTCTAGAATGATAGCAACTTCTGTTTGATGTGAAGGAAAAAAATACAGGGAAAGAACTGATGTTTGCCAATTGAGTCCTTTCCGTGGAAATTTGTTCTCTTTCATTGAAGTAATGAAGCTTCAATAAGTGGCCAAAGCTTTGGTTTCACTTTCTTCTTGTAGTTCCTCTTCATGATCCCATCGAAGAAAAATGGCCTTGATGTTAGCATTTTTTCCTGGTTATTATTTACACTTTGACATTGTTTGCTGATGAATGCTGAGTGAAGTTCTGGGATCTGGCAGTCTAGATTAGTGATTATCTTTAAGATTATGTTCAAGTGTAAACATCCTGACACAATGTGTGCTATTTTTGGTAAGTGTACATTCTCATTCTAGAGTTTGCTATAAGGCTTGCCTTCTCAAAAGAAATTCTATGTAGCCACTGAATGAAATGATTTGGGGGTAAGGTGTGACTGAAATGTTAATTAGAATTTTGTTCACACTATCAAATATTGAGAGTTTGGAAATAGCAGCAGAATAGGTTTTGGTGGGTGGTAATAACAAAATTTAATTTCTTCCTAAGAAGAAATTCTATTGTATAGGATAGTGTACAAATCTTTGTTGAAATTTCTCCTATTTTAGTAGTACCGATTTATAAAATAGGTTTTAGATCTCTGATCTTATTTCTCACCAACGTAATTTCAGTTTCGGCAGTGATTTTCAAACCTAAGGGAAAAAATGAACAGTAGCCAGGAATGGGGATGCTGCCAAGTTTCTTTACCTTTTTTAAAAAGGAACTCTTTACTGAAACCACAAAAGAGAATTAGAAATGTTTGAGTTGAAGTGAGGAAGGGCTAGGGAGAATGGGCAAGAACCTACTTCATCTCACTTTCCATGCCACCCTCAAAGTCTAAGGAACCCCTGTGGGGGTACTGGGTGCACTTTGAAAACCGCTCTCCTATAGTGTGTTTAATTTTATATCTGTCAGAAAACTGAGATTTACTGTTAGACTAAACATTTTTATCCATATTTTATAGTTTGCTTCATTTGGCTTCCTAAATCATTTTTAATTTCACAAGGATTTAGTACTTTGCTGATGTTCAGCTTTCTCTCCCTAAGCTATATCTACTTTAAAAAACAAAATCCTTTTTTTTTTTAAAGTCACTGATCTAAGCAATTGATTTCTCAAACAAAAGTGTCCAGGTGAGAGTGTACAGTTTGTTACAATAGGGCTGTGCTGCTTCAGAGTTGGTGCACCTCCTGGGATCTCACTTGTCCTTGCTTGGTATTTTATACCTTCTCAAGTTTTCACGGCCTTTGTGGGCTCTTTTTATATCAATTTAATTTTGTATGGTTTCCCACATCCTCCCTTCTTGACTATGTATCCCCTTATGTAACGTCTTATCCCTTTCGGAGGGGATATTTGCTTATTATCAAAGATGTGGAGGAAACAAACCGATTCTTCCTGTAGTAACACCAGAGTTGCCAGTTTGACTGTTTTAGTCATTAGATTCTCAAACCATGTTACAGTTTTTTTGGTTAAGATACAGAATTTTCTCTTAATTTTATGTTGCTGCTCTAAATACAGGTGCAATTTCTGTTGACTCTGTAATCAGATAGAAAAAGTAATCTGCTTTGTGTGGTATAATTTGTTAATAAAATGATGTATATTTGTTATCATGTTGTTACACTTGAGATTCTCAGACTCTCCCCAATTTAATGAACAAAGTTTTATAAGGTAAATGAAAATATTAATAGAAATTAGTTTATTTACCTAGTTCTTGTAACTGGTAACTGTACTTTTATAGTTGTAAGTTGTTTTTCACTGTTTTCTGTGAACAGTTTTAATGTTCATTTTTGGTGTCTTACACTGAAATTACATATAAATTTTTAATTTATCTCATACAAGTGACTTAAACATTTAAAAAATACACTTTGTAGTGTATAATCTTAAAATTGGCACTTAACATCATATATGTATATTTGAAGGTGAGTACTTTATGCCCTTGGTGTTATGGCAACATAATTATTAAGCCATCATGCTTTGATACAGTCACTATTTTTACCAAGACCCCTGACACTTTGGCTGTTTATTTTGTCAGATTTTTTTCTTAACCAATTATAAAAGAGTTGCAGAGGGGTCCTCTTGGCTGTTGCTCAGGTTCTGTCAGCCAACCAGTGATTATCTGGAGTATTTTGTTTAAGGAAGGCAACTATAGATACTAGTCTCTTAGAATCACTTGTTCAGGGCGGCACCTGTGGCTCATGGGGTAGGGTGCCAGCCCCATATACCAAGCAAGGGTGGCGGGTTTAAACCCGGCCCCAGCCAAACTGCAACAAAAAAATAGTTGGACACCACAGCACTCTACTGCGGGCGATAAAATGAGATTCTGTTTCTAAAAAAAAAAAGGAATCACTTAGTCAACCTGTATTTTTATCTTTCTTCACTTTGAAATATCAAGGGCTTTCTTGTTTTGGTAACTCCTGACAGTGTAATTGGTGCTGAATATAGCTTCATGGCTAAGGTTAGCTTTCACTCATAACTTTATGACACTTTAGGTGAGCCAGTTTATAAAGGATTTTATTTCCGTTTCTGGCCAGAAGTTATAAACACTTGGCATGTGTCTTAGAATAATTGTAAAGGCCAGTAAGATACTTGAGGTGAATTTAGGTCGTGTGGCATTTATCTGATGTGTTTGCAAACAGCTAGAATGAAAATAAAATGCATAGATGAGCATTTAATTTAAGTTGAATCATAACTCTTGGTATAAAATAAGTTTTCCTTACGACCATCTTAAGGAATTTGAAGAAAGGTAAGATGTTGCATTTTAAGTGAACTAGTGTTCAACAGAAACTGTTGTGACTTTGGTATGCAGACTATCTAGACATTCTGCCCTCAGACCAGTCATGGATGTTCACCATTGGTAACCAAGTTGTCTTCTGCCAATAAAGTATTCATTAGTTGACATTTTTGTATTTTTAAGTAAAGGCAATTTTTAAAGAGCATGCATTTAGGTCAGGCATGGTGACTCATGCCTATAATCCCAGCACTTTGGAAGGCCAAGGTGGGCCAATAGCCTGAGCTTACAAAGGTTCCAGACCAGCCTGAGATAGATAGAGTGAGACCCCATCTCTAAAAATAGCCAGGTGTTGTGGCTGGTGCCTTAGTCCCAGCTACTCAGGAGGCTGAGGCAAGAGAATCGCTTGAGCCCAAGAGTGAGAGGTTGCTGTGAGCTCTGAGGCTACAGAACTCTACCAGGGGTGACAAAGTGAGACTCTGTCTGAAAAAAAGCATGAATTTAATAGGTATGCCTTTCATTTCTCTGTAGTGTTGAATTGGTTAAAAAAGGGACACTTAAACCCTTCATTCTTTATTCAGTAAACACTTATTTTCTTAATTTTTTTCTACAAGATTTTCTTCATTTTAATGGAATGTCATAATGACATTCCCATAATTTGCAGTACACTATTTAAACTGTCTGACATTGGATTTAGTGTTCTTGGGTTTGTGTGTTGTGGGAGCTTGGAGTTGTCATTTAGAGTGAATGATTTGACCTGATTCACCTTTTCTGCTACAGTTCTACATGATTATGGTGAAATGTGTGGAAAAGAATTTAAAAATTTCTCTGCCTTTAAAGAGTCTAATGTTCTTGTCAAATAAATGACTGTTCTGTAATTTCTTATTCCCTCTTGGTTTCACCCTCCCCCCAGTTAGGAACCATGCCACAATTTCTGAAAAAAACAAATAAAGCTCTATAAAGTGCCTGTCCTTCTTTAATGTTTGCCTGATTGAATAATGTTTGTGTTTTTTTCTGTTTATGTCTGTAGTATATGCTCATTGTGGAAAGTTTGGACAATAGAGAAAAATATAAAGAAAAATAACACTTGGTTATAATACTATCCCCAGGAAAAAAAAAAAACACTTTGAATATTTTTGTATATTACTTGCCACTCTTCTTTGCTACTTGTGTATGTTTTTACGTAGTTTCATTCATTCTTACTGTAACTTATATCTTGGTTTTTCCCTCAGTCAACAGGCATTATTTCACATCATTATAACCTCTGTTAGCTGGCTTTGCGCCCAGAGCACAGTTATGGTGCCAGCCACATACATTGAGGGTGGCAGGTTTGAACCCGGCCCGGGCCAGCTAAAACAACAATGATAACTGCAATAAAAAATAGCCGTGCATTCTGGCTAGCTGTGATGGCACTCTACCAAGGAGGTCGTAGTGAGACTGTCTCAAAATTTAAGTAAGGGCCGGCCAAGGTGACTCACACCTGTAATGCAAGCACTCTGGGAGGCCAAGGCTGGTGGATTGCTTGAGCTCACAGGTTTGAGAGCAACTTGAGCAAAAGCAAGACCCCCATCTCTACTAAAAGTAGAAAAACTGAGGCAAGAGGATTGCTTGAGCCTGAGTTGGAGGTTGCTGCGAGCAACAATGTCATGGCACTCAAACCCAGGGCAATAGCTTGAGACTCCATCTAAAAAAGAAAAAAAAACCCTATGCCAGGTATTACTAATTTTCTGGCATTCCATTGTGTGCATGCATGTTATGTGTATAGCCTTTCCCCACTGAACAGTTTAGATTGCATCTTAGAGTATCACAATGAATAGCTTTTGTACATAAATTATTTACTTATGAAAAGTTCTTAGTGATGGAATTTCTGGTTAAGGGTATGAACCCTTTTATAGTTCTTGATTTACATACCTTTTTAAATGATTATGTTAATTTATACTCTAGCCCAATAGTGGTAGCAGGGTCATCTAGCCAGATTTTTGGAGAACATGTGATGTTTGATCTTTATGTAGGCCTCTGCCCTAAAACTCTCCACCTGTCTGACCCTGGTGAAAAGTGGCCTAACTGCTTTGGAGGTAGGCAGAGATGTTCCCAGGCTTTCTTGTTTTAAATATTGTGCGACATGTTCCAGAAACACCTGTATGTGAACATCCAACTTTTCCACATGATTTTGCTTGCACT